GAAGAAGTCAAACATCCCGGCCGTTTGGAGTACCTGAACCTGAGCTGCACACACACTCACACACACTCACACACACTCACACACACACTCACACTCACACACTCCTGACTAATGCTGCTGCTGGATGGACCGACGGCGCTCACATCAACTCCTCCAGCTGTGCACATATGAGATCGACCTGCACCAGCAGACATGCATTTCTACTACGTGGTAGGTAACACACGGACCTGTGTGTGTGTGTGTGTGTAGGTGTTTGTGTGTGTGTGTGTGTGTGTGTGTGTGTGTGTGTGAGTGTGTGTGTGTGTCTTCTGTTATTGCTGCTGGAATTTGCTGACAGACTGTAACTGTGTGTCACTCGCGATTACAGAAGAATCTGAGCAGTTCACTTGTCTTTAAACGATGAATTCAGCTGAGCGGGACGTCAGTAGTTTCCTGATTCAGCGTTTTTATCAGTCACGTGCTCCGCAGCTCGTTTTTACTGCACTCGTCGTTAAACTCAGCCGAACTTTTATCCCTCTAACTCCAAATCCTGCGTGTTTTCACCTCGATACTTCCTCGCGGTCGCACCCAAATCATCATTCCTGCAAAACTGAAAGGTCAAATTGCTCCTTTCTTGGCCTGAAGAGCAAATGAATCACGGCTCCACCTCTGTTGGTTTCATAGTTGTGGTTTAAAAAAAACAAAATAAATAAAAATCCATCATCTAATGGCAGAAATCCCAAGAAAACCAAAGCGTTAAATCAGCGGCTGCTCTGGCTCGGAGCCTATCTGCTGCTTGTGTCCCGGTGCAGTCAGAGTCATGTGCAAAGAGAGAAAAGGAAAATCATCACTACTTCTTCTTACGAGCATAAACAGAGAAGTGGTGGGTGTTTAGCGGTTGCATGGAAACCTGGAGTAAATTTCCTGAATCTTGCAACCCGTCCGTCTTTTCCTCCCCCGAGCATGGATGTGATCTGAAGTCCAGGAGGAGAGGTTAGCGGATGAGGTGGGACTGTTTCAGGTTGGACGTACATGCACACATCAGATGTCTAAATCTATTCTAATGCATGATGTAAACAAAATGTATTGACATCACATCCATGAACCTTTTCCTTTCCTCCTGCTGTATTATTCCAATACAAAACAAACCATTTAAGGAAGATAGACTCACACTGATCCACTCTCGAGCCCGTTAAACCTTAATGGGAACAGATTTGGTGAAGATTAGTTGCATTAATGACGCAACAGCTTGTTTAATTTAAAGAAACCTGATAGTAGCGACGAACATTCGTCATTTTTTGATTTTAATGACTGTGTGTGATGCAAAAGTGGAACAATGTGCAGTTCTGCTCAACTCTATGTGATATTTTTGCATCTTTTAGTTCATTGTTTTGCTTTCACAGGCCATAATTGCAGTGATTTGGTTCGCTCTCGTAGCCTCTATGCTACCTGCCTAGCACCAACTGGCTAATAGTTAGCTTAGCAGCTAAAAGTCAGTTTCCTTCAGGAGGTGGTGGCGACCAAAACATTGCTAAAAGCGAGTGGATATTTGATTTACAGTCACTGAATAATACTGAAGTGGCTAATTAATGGTTGATTTCAAGGAAACCTAGTGGCAGCAATGCACAGCCACTGTGACTCTTTGTTAGTCCATGTTTTTTTATGCTAACGATGATTAAACTGACTGTGTGTGGTCACCTCTGCATCCTTCAGCTCAACGTTTTGGTTCTACGGCTCTTAACTTTAACAGTTTGGTTCCTTCTCATTACTCTGATAAACCCACTGTACTCAGAAAAGTGACTTATAGACGACATTAGCAGAGAATTTTGCGGCTAACGAGCTGCATGGGAGGTGGTGGAGACCAAACACAGAGCTAGAAGAGAGCGATCCTGGGCTTAAACTCTCTAAATAGTGCTGATGCTATTCTGAACGTTCGCTGAATGTGTAAATATGTTCATTTACTGTTACATGGAAGTCTTGACTACTTTATTTTCTCTAGTATGTGAGCTCACACTCAGAAGTCTGGATCACTTTAAAGATTAACAATATTTTTTTAAACTTTAGTGGTGTGGTAAACTCCCAGAGCCGTTTAACCCGACATTAGCAACTTGCTGGTGAATTTAGTGGTTAATGTAGCAGCTAAAGCGTCACGTATTCCCTCAGGAGGTGGTGGAGACCAAAAACAGAGATAAAAGACAGAGAATGTTGGACTGTTTTCCCTCCAGAGCTTTACCTGGAGGAGGCTGCAGAGACTCTCAGAGATGTTGTATGAGCTGATTGTAAACAGTGTGTATGAAGTGTGTGTGTCCGTAAAACAACGCAGGACGTCAGGATTGTAACGTGTTTGTGGCTGACGAGAGTCTCGACATGAACTCGGCTGCTGTTTAAATCAGCAGTAAGAAGACGAACCCACAAACGAACAGGTTGCCTTGAAGAAGCGAGCGTTCATCTGCAGTCGTGCAGAAGAGTTGGGATGCAGTCGTTTCTTCTCCATCTGCTCCGGAGCGCCGCTGAGACGCCAAGTCCGGCTGAGTCTTCAGGCCGCCCTCCATCCCTCCTCTTCCTTCCTCTCAGACATCACCAGACAGCTGCATCGCTTTCCTCCAAAACTATTATTTCTGCATCTGTCCGTCTGTCAGCTCTGGTTTCCCTCCCGGCCCAACAGCTGTCTGAAGCTTCGCCTCAGTCACGCTGCCGTTGCGGCTCAATCGTATTTCGTGCTTGTCGTGTTGATTTGTGAATTTATCTGTTGGCTCTGTGCGGCGGTCAGACCTCGTTAAGGCATCCGAGGGTTTGGCGACATGCTTGAACTCTGGTTTTGACCTCGTCACCGGGAGCTGGTTGTGTCGCTGCTGGAGGTTTGCTCCTTTACAAATAAACAGCGTTTTATTTTCACTGAAAGGAAACACTGTGATGGAGAAGGAAAGAGTCACAGGCCCTTACCTTTAGAGTTTTCAAGTGTTAATTTAGTTTTTTTGTCAGGTTTATTCATCTAAACTACTTGTTTAGGTTTAGAAAAATATCACAATTTGGGTTAAATCACATATTTTCTTTATTTTCTAGGTTCCCAGAGTGATGACTAATACCTGGACTAATATCTGATTAGATAAACAGCAACAATACATTGATTTTAAATGTATTTATTATAGATATTAGTGTGTTTGAAAATATATTTCCTCTTAAACCACAACTGAGAACGCAGTTTAGTTGTAAAAGACCATAATTTTTAGGAGACAGATCCTTCATACTAAATGCAGTTAATTTAATCGTATTACCCAAACAAAGCATCAATTTAGTTTTGTTTCGTGTCTGCCTCTGAGATTCAGTTGATCTATTTATTGACTTAATTGTGTTTAAATGATTTTTTTGGGGGGTTTATTTATAAGAAAGTGCTTATTTATAAATTCACATTTGTTGTCCTCTTGAATGAGAATGATTTGTCAAGAAAAAGATTTTTAGAAACAACGGATATCTGAACATTTACACACATTGTTTGATTAAAAACTCCAAAACTGTCAACAAAGAGCCAAAATTAAAATCCAAATCTGATCAGACCGTTTGGGTGAAGTGACCCTTTATGACCCCTGAACTGTCACATGCTCCCCTTTGCTCCAATCAGATCGAAGCCCCAGCAGGCGTGACCCGCCTGCCTCCTTGCAGCCAATCAGAGCCCTCCAAGCCGCGCCACTCCTCTAATTTAGCCTCTCAGCAGCCAATCAGGGAGCTCGTGGCTCTAATCAGGGAAAGTCGTTTCACCTGCTGCTGTCCCGACACAAACATTTACCCCAAATATCACAATATACGTTTACTTATTGAGCTTTTGCTAATTTATTATAATTATATTAATCTTTAAACAAAAAAAAAACCCCAAGACATAACCGAGGAGGAGGATCTTATGAGGACCTGTCCGCCATGTTTACCTGCTTATTACCGGCACACACCTGGTTTAGGTAAGCAGCTCTCAGGCTTCACCTCCGTTATGCTACAGTTTGGCTCTGCGACGTCTAATGAAGTTAGAAATGAGATTATATTTGTCCTCAGAGAAATATTAGCTCATATTTAACATTAGTTAATTATTTTTTCTTAATAGTAATAATGCTTTATTTATATCAACGGTTTATAGTTTAAATAAATGAGGCTCCTAGAATAAAATTATAGTGAAGAATTAAACAGAACAACACTGAAGATGACACTAGTGACGCTCTGGATGATTGTTTTTGTCAGATTTTGCTTCCATGACACGTTTTCTTAAAGACTAATGGAAAGAAAACATCAAAACGTTACTGTGTAGGTCTAAGTTATAATAATGTCTTTATTATAATGTTGGTTATAATAATGTCTTTATTATAATGTTGGTTATAATAATATCTCCACAGGATATTTTCTCCAAATGTGTTTTTGCTCTTTAGCAGCTCTTCTAGTTTTGTTCCAGCCTCTGAGCTGAAGGTTTTTGCAGAAAGGAATCTTCATGAAACATTGAAATCCTGATTTATAAGCAAGCAGGTTTTTTTTTCTGCAGCAACCCGTCCTGCATTGAAATGTGTTTTACAGGCAGAGGGAGTAAATACAGCATGTAAAGGCTAAAATACAGAAGAATAAAGTCAATTAAATAGAAAAGAAACAGTTCAAGATGAATGAGTTGCTCAGTTTTTATAGAAATATTCAAACAGATTGACAAAAACAGCTGAAAAAGATTAAAGATTAGAAGTATTTTTTTTGTCTGTTTTCTGACAGAATTTTCTGATTTAAGGATAAAATAGGAATAAAAAAAACCTTTAATTCTAATTTATTAAAATAAAGAACAGCTGATTTATTGAATGTTCACATGTTGGTTGTGGAAATGATTGTAAATGAGGCCGTTTTCAGAAAAACAGTCGCATATTTAGACACAACATTTTGGAAATCTTTGTTAGATTTGTGTTATTGCTGTAATCAGCCGGTCATGATGTTCACTTGTGGTTTCCTCTTAACAACGTATTTACAAGACTTCCTAGTGAAGAAAATGCTTTTTTTTTCTTGCCCCTGCTGCTTTATCGCTTCTCGTTTATGCCTGTTTGCTTCATTGTTGCTGCAGTTTATGGATGAAGAGTCTGTTTGAGTCCTTTATGACCCGGTTCTGGGATCAGTCAGAAGGTGTGCTGCTTGTTCTTGCTGTTGAGGAATCCAGCGATCTGCAGCCGGTGTGTGTTTGATGAGTTCTTCTGGTTCTGCTGCTTCATAACGACGATGAT